AATAACCACTATATATCACTATGTGACCAGTAGCCATTAGCATATTTCACTATATATCACTATATATCACTATATATCACTATATATCACTATATATCACTATATATCACTATATATATATCACTATATATCACTATATATCACTATGATTGCAATTCCTTTTCACGAATCAGAACGAGGAATGCCCCTCGTTTTTGGTCACCTCATCATTTCGCCGCTTTGCCGAGCTTTCCAACGGTGAAAAGATCAACCACAGATGGGGAAGTACATAGCCAACCCATATGCTCCATGTATGGTATATTTCCCTACAAAACAGAGTGATTTTGTTCGGGGTAAATGTTGGGATTCATATTCCAGCACCATGGTTCGCATTTGGCCAAGGTTTGAAAGTCATTTTCATCCTGAAACATTGGGGTCCAACTGCCTACACTCGTGGCAGCTGCCTGGAACATTATACCATCCCAGCCAAGTTTTCAGGATGAAACAATATAAAACACTCACTTCTACTGCAGAGGCGTGTGCAAAAAGATAGAAAAGTTGTTCAACGAGGATCGGGATAAGTCTTTCCCCTATTCGGTGGTCGCCGTTCTATGATAGACCTCCATAACTTCACGTTAAATCCTCCCTCCCTTGTCAGCCACACTTGAGATTTTCAGCCCTATATGTTCATATCCCATAGGATCCATATATGCTATTTATGGTAACATTTACCATCAATATACACCAAATGTTAGCATATATACCAGCACCATGGATCCTATGGGATATATGTTCATGGATTAAACAACGATTCAACGGATGAAACGCCTTACTTTCGGCCGGTGAAATCCCCAAAAAATGCACCCGGCGCGGTCTGTGATCTTGACCGGTGCAGCGGCATTGCTGAAGGCGGGGGCTGTGTGAACAGTGAGGGGAAAATGAGGGGTTTCATGGGATTTAATGGGATTTATGGGGTTTAATGAGGTTTAATGGCATTTAATGGGATTTACTATTTGGTTATTTAACATAGCCATGGAAAATCACCATTTTTAAGAACGGTAAACTTCTATAAATGGGCCATGGCTTCCATGGCTATGTTAGTCATAGCCAGAGGGTAATGGGGTTTAATGAAACTTGAAATCAGAATCTATGGGAATTCTATGGAATTGTTCATGGTGAGATACACCCACCTAGAGCATCGTTCAATTGGTTTCCCAGGAAAAGAATTGGGTGTTTATCAAAAAGGTAATTCCCCACCTGCCAGGTGAGGGTTGTTAGATTTTATGTCAGTTGCCTCCTCCTGCCTCGTCCTCCTCCTCCTCCTCTCCTCCTCGTCCTCCTCGTCCTCCTTGTCATCCTTGTCGTCCTTGTCGTCCTCGTCGTCCTCGTCGTCCTCGTCCAACTGCGACCCGCGATCCACAGTGTTCTCTGTCGGACCTCAACCACGACCATCCACGCCCAGTGTTCCCTGCCGGACCTCAACCACGACCATCCACGCCCAGTGTTCCCTGCCGGACCTCAACCACGACCATCCACGCCCAGTGTTCCCTGCCGGACCTCAACGACGACCATCCACGCCCAGTGTTCCCTGCCGGACCTCAACCACGACCATCCACGCCCAGTGTTCCCTGCCGGACCTCAACCGCGAGTATCCACGCCAAGTGTTCCCTGCCGGACCTCATGTAGGAAGATAAAATGTCAGATAGAGTGCCAGAAGATTTGCCAGGTAGAATGCCAGAAAATATGCCAGAAGATATGCCAGATAGATATGCCAGAAGATATTTCAGAAGATATGCCAGATAGAATGCCAGATAGAATGCCAGAAGATATGTCAGAATATATGCCAGATAGAATGCCAGAAGATATGTCAGATAGAATGCCAGAAGATATGCCAGATAGAATGCCAGAAGAGTCAGATAGAATGCCAGAAGATATGCCAGAAGATATGCCAGATAGAATGCCAAATAGAATGTCAGAAGATATGTCAGATAGAATGCCAGAAGATGTGCCAGTAAGAACATGTATAAATGTCATGGTGGGGATCACACGAAGTAAAGTAATTGTTGATACTGTTTTTAAAGTGCGGCCTCCGAGCTATGCTAGTTGGTTTATTCACAGAGACTATACCTATAAACCAAAAGCCACCTCGTTGTGAACCGTTTCTGTTGGTTAAACAACAATTTTGATGTTCAAATTTCCATCTATCCTGGTTTAAGCATTGATTTCTCCTGCTTAAACGCCCATGTTTGCTGCTTAAACACCAATTCTTGCTGCAAAACCCAACATGCCTGCTGGTTTTTATCCATCATTGCTGGTCAATCCACTGCTGGTGAAACCCAGCATTTTGGCTGCTGAAATCTAAACCTGGTTGGTGGTGACTGAAACCCCCATCATATTGGGAATGTCATCATCCCTGGTCCGAAGATGTCCGAAGTCCATGATTTTTCAGAGAGGTAGGCGAAAAACCACCAACCAGATAATCATCATGATCTTTCCATCTGGTTAACATAGCCATGGAAAGATCCACCATTTTTAAGAACGGTAAACCTCTATAAATGGGCCATGGCTTCCATGGCGAACTGTTGCCATCCAGTCGCCAATTTGACTCGTCGTTTTTTGACTCGGCAGGTGAGTTGCGGTTCAGATGACCTGGTGTGGCTGGCGCCCTTCATCGCACGCGAGAAGAGTCGTGTGGCGAAGCTGTGGGCGCCTGGCCAGCGACAAAAACCGTTGGGGGCACCCCGTTTTGGGATAGGAAAAGCAAAGGAAAACCATAGGGAAATGGTGATCTAACTATGAAAAATGGTGATTCAATGGGATTTATAGCTGATTTATGATAGCTTAGTTGGTGAACCATATCTCTTTATATCTCCAATAGCTATGGTTTATCTTACAACTATAGCTAATGATCTGTTAATTGGGTTTGTGAACCATATCTCCAAGAACTGTAACTATAGTTTGGATTTATAAACTGACTTACAACTGGTGGCCACATTGATAGAGAGGCTCACCGGCTAACCTTAAGCCATAAAAGAACCAACAGGTAAGTGATGAGATTCATTTCGTATGAGACCGGTCCCGCTAAATGTTTTCCCTTGTAATTGTTGGCCGATGCTCCGGGTCAATCGACTGGGGAGGGACTTCCCCGTTCACAATGCTGGTGTATCTAACCAAAGTTGGACAACATACTACCAGCAACAAAGGGGGATTCTTGGGTAAACCAAGCGGATGTATTTCCATAGTTATAGGGGCCCCATATCCCAATTTATGGGGCTTTAAACCCCGTCACCTCAACTGCACCCCCAAGTACCATTCCAACTGCCAACGTCTCGACAGCCACAGCCCATGTCCGATGTGTTTGTCCCTGAAAAAAACTGCCACAAAATGGGTGATATCATCATTTTCAGACATCCATATGATTTCAAGTGCCACCTGACACTGCCGCGAGTTTCGGATGTTCTTCAGGTTTCCTTCCTATACGCGGTGTCGGTGGTGTTCCTCGTGTCCATTGCAGCGGGGGCGGGCTATCTGACCAAGTCTATGAAGGGACAAAACGCCGAATCGCTGAGACTTGACCGAGCGTTGTTGGCGGAGATTTTACCATCCGGTTACCCTCTGGTAAACATACAAAAAGCTATTTGAAAATGGCCATTTATAGTGGATTTACCCATGAAAAATTGTGATTTTCCATAGATATGTTAGTTTACCAGAGGGTATTGATTGTGATTTCACAAAGCTAATTATGGAAAATCACCAGTGATTTTAGCCGAAAATCACCATTTTGGGAATACGTTGAAGTGGTAAATCATCGTGAATCATATACAGTATTTTTTTATGGTGCATTTTCCATAGCTATGTTGATGCTCAAAAAATTGGCAGTTTTGAACCAAGCAAAGTCAGTTAGATGTGTCAGGATTTTCGCGTACCGAGCATATCGATGTAACTAACAAGACTGGGTGGATAGAAAAAAGGGAATAATAATCCCAAGTGACTTTCATATGTTTCAGAGGGGTAGGTATACCACCAACCAGTGAGTGTCTAGATGAACCTATAAGTTGCTTCCACCTACCAAGCTACCTATGGGGTAGCACTTTGTACCAGTTACGACTAGGGCGTACTAGGCCACTTCAATGGGGCCATTGAAACCCAGTTATAAAATAGGGCTCCCATCATTGCAAGCGAACCTTGGTAGAAAGGAGTACAATCAACCCACAAGAAGCGGTGCATATGTAAGTGTTTCCAAATAGCGAAACAAAAAATAATGCATGATGTCACAGATGTAGCTCTTGAATTGTTCTATAGAACCACCCAAAAGATATAGACACAAATTTTATCCCGATTTTGTGTTTCAGATTTTAACCTTTTCTATCTTTTATCCAAAAAAGGATAGAACAGGAATCTGTCACTCTGGTGATTTAACATAGCCATGGGAAATGGCCCATAGAAATAGATGGTTTACCTATCAAAAAATATATGGCTATCTTAAATAACCAGATGGTAAACCCCATTAAACCCCATTAAATCCCATTAAACCCCTCATTTTCCCCTCACTGTTTACACAGTCCCATATATTAGTTTGGGATACATTTGGATTTTACCACCTGCAACAAGGGGGTTGCGTCACTCTGCGTCCACGTAGAGCACAGCAGCCCAGGAAGTGGTGGCTTCAACGGATCGCTGGATCACTGCTGATTCTCTATTCGCAGCTTGGCGGCGGAGGGCGCGCCAGGAATATGGAGCGTTTTTGGGAGAAAAACCGCGTTTTTGAAAATTGAATGGGTCATAACCAGATGGTAAATCCCATTAAATCCCATTAAATGCCATTAAACACCATTAAACACCATTAAACCTCCATTAAATTTGAACAGGATTTCCAAATTTGGAAATTAGCCAAAAACCATGGGATGATCCAAAACCATGGGATTTTCCAATGCCATTTTTTTCCACATGTTTTTTTTCCACATGGTTTTCCACAGGGCACTGACGGTTGTCACGTCACTTCGCCGTCACCCAGGCTGCACATGGCCTATGTGGATGGGTGGTTGGCCCCCTGCGGCTTAAAGGGCGATGACGATGAGAAAGATGACAAGGACGTGAGATTTGAGAACAACGAACCTATTTGGGAGTGGTTTATAGCACCTATATATTTATGGTGATGACTGGAGGATGGTTTATTGTTGTTTTAACCACGTTATACCGTAACTGGTTTGAGAACAACAAACCGTAACAAACCAGAACACCCATAATGATGGATAATATCACCCATAATGATGGTTAGTCATGGTTAATGATGGTTAATAATGGTTAATACTGGTTAATAATCTCTGGTTGGTGGTTTGGAACATGAATTTTATGACTTTCCATATATTGGGAATTTCATCATCCCAACTGACTTTCATATTTTTCAGAGGGATTGAAACCACCAACCAGGTAACAAACCAGAACACCTTTGTTATTTTCATGCAAACAATCCCTTTCCATATGATTTTAAAGCATGAAACCATCGTGAATCCATTTTTTTAGAACAATATATAGGGGTTTCCTAAAATAGGGGTGCCCCTATAATTCATGTTAATTTTGCATTATATAAACCATTCATGTTGGGGTACCTCCATTTATGGAAAAAAAAACATAAAAGTGGGAAACAGAATGATCAACTGAGGCCGGCACACTAACCTGACGCTGGAAGATTATCCCCTATGGACCCAGTCGTAGCTTCTTACGAAGTGTTTGAGGTATGATGACTAGGGGGTTACAATCGGTCAATCCTACATGGATACCATGGAAATCCCCATCAAGTCCCATGAAATCACTGTTAACTAGGTCAATCGACTGGATGGATACAAACTAATCCTAACTAGTCTTTTGGTATGAAAATGGGAATATCTACTAAAACCAGCAGAGAATTTGGTCCATTTTCTGCAGGGGCCCTCTGGCTGATTGTCAATGGTTAAGTACCTTCTCAGACAGTGGCCATGGATCCATAGGGCCATAGGGATCATGAATGATCATGAAACTGGGTTGCATGTGACGCTTTCTTTGGCCTTCCAATTGGGATGGAACATGGATGTTGTGGAATGAAAACAACTATAAAAACCTTTAAACAATGTAGAAGTACCAACATGCTGGGTAAGATTCCACCAAATACCAGAATTCATGTGGTTTTTGGGTTGAGGGTGTAGGTCTCGTCTCCATGAATGTTTGGTATTTTTTGCATTCGCAAAACAAAGCATTTTGATTCCCCAGGACCACACTGTGGTGCGCCCGTGTATTTTTTCTGTAACAAACCTGCATCTAATTAGCGACAAATCCAACATCATAAAAAGTTCACCTTGATATTTCGACCAATAACCAACTTAGCTCTCATCAAAACTCGAATGTAACATCCAAGTGGTTTGGTTGACTCCCATTTTCTGTTGATCAAATTGTGTAGAAAAAAATCATGTTTGGAACCCCCCACAAAAGTTACCCATAATGATCCATGTATTGTATATATGCTAACATTGGGGGTATATTGATTGTAAATGCTACCAGATATGGCATACATGGATCCTATGGGTTTGGAACCCCCCACAAAACTTAAGAAATCAGTCCTTCGTCAGGACGAGGCGTTGTTGGAAGTGGAGTCCACCCCCTCCGGCAACGTCAAACGCGACGCGGCTGACGGACACGATGAGGCGGCAGGACACGACCGATGAATAAATATAGGGATTTAAGATTATAAAAATAGATATACTAGAATTAATGATAGATAAATATATATAGGAATCTATATCTAGATTAAATATGGGATTAATATAGGGATTTATGTAGATATAGATAGGAATTAATGATCAAATTACTACAATTTAACTATGATATATGATATAACTAACTTCATGAAACAAAAAGAAAAATAATGATATAGTGGGATATAACCATGATATCATGGGATAAAACTATTAAGTTGTTTTCTTATGATAGAATGGGATACAACTATGGGATAAAACTATATAACTACTTGGAGATATGGAAAAATGTGCAGGAAACCAAGGGTTTTACCCTGATTGAAATGAAGTGGCTATTACCCTTATGCTCCATGTATGGAATATTTACCATCATTTGCCCTAAAAATCGCCCAAATGTAGGTACATATACCATACATGGAGCATATGGGTTATTGTGATTTTGATCAGCAAAAGTGACGTGTATTTATTTGAGAACACATACAGACAGAAAAACGACTCAACCAAAGAAAGCTGCATTTTAACTCGCAGAAATGAGGATTCAGCTCAGTTATCTGTGGGAGACAGATATACCTCAGATTTATGGGGTACTAGAGGATCATCCCCTGGTTAATTGGTGCGTGAGGTTAGAGTTGTGGGACAAGCATAGAGGACATCTGATCAGGTTATGAGCCACTTCTGATTCTCAGGGTAGTCAACCATAGACATGGACAATTTCCGATGATTTGCCCACAAAAGCTATCCATGTATAGAGATGTTTCCAAATTTTACCCACGATGTTCCAATGATCTTCTCATAATTTGATGTCATTTCCGCAGTGTTTCATGGGGTAGCCCTCCTCCAGCCGAGGCAACAACATTGTGGTGGTCGCTTTGTTGGGAAGTCCTCGGCTCAGATTTGACTGAAGATTTCGGGGAAAAGCCTCAAAATCTGTGATTGTCATTATGTTCCCAATCAAATATGGGTATATGCAATATTATACTTGGTGGATAGATTAATGAACATCCCAGTTCCAATAATGGATAGTTTAACCAATATCAATTTTGATTAAACATTATGCGAATCTATATCATATTTAGATAATCTTTAAAATATGTATGATTATATCGACCATAACATATAAATAGGGTGTTATATGCAGTATGTTCTGTTTTTAAATTTCAGTGAGACTCAGCATTGATAAATTGATGACCTGAAAACTGGGCACCCTCTGGCTGGGAAGCTCTGGTAATCTTTACGAAATTACCCGGCCTGGTAAACGTTCACCAAAAAAACAATGGAAAATCACATAAAATCACCATGCTATATAGCTGGGTAAATCCACTTTTTCGACTGGGCCATGGCTTCAATAATTAGCTAGCAAACTGTAACAAATTACCAGAGGGTATATTCCATTAAGTGGATGAAATAATCCCATTAAACCCCATTAAACTCCATTAAACTCCATTAAACCCCATTATAGGATTGCCGGTCAGAACAGATGCAGCTTTTCTGGTAGCGTTCCATGACATCTCCTAGATGTTCCATGGAAAAAAACGACAAAAAACTCCAGTTCCCGGTGAGACCTAGAGACCGGTGGTGCACTCCAGTTATATTAGTTGGTTACCCAATAGATGAGATACCCTTATTTTCTAACTATTCTCCTTGTTTTCACAAAATAGGCTATATACAGAAAATAGTTTACAAAAAAATAAACTATTTAGTTAAATCTATGATTGAGAAATCGGTCTATTTTTACAAAATCGGCAGATTTTTCCCGGGACAGGGGGGTCGTAGTTTGGTAGAAAGTCGGTCGGACTTTCGCCCCTTGTTTGCAGGCGTGGGTCGGAGTTTGGTGAAGGTTTGAAGATTGATTTTTGCAACCCCTCCAGCATTTCCACGCATTGGCGTCGTACTTTGGTCAGACTTTGGTCGGAGTTTGGCCCCAAATAGAAATTATCTATTTCCTAGGAAATAGATTATTTCCTAGGAAATAGGCTCGAAAAAATCTAATTAGTTAAATGTGTTTTTCAAAAATCTATCTATTTTTCAACCCCCCCAAATCTACCAATTCTATCTAAATAGACTGCTTCTTGTGAAATAGGTTATAGTCAGAAAATAAACTATTTCAATCTATTGGGTAATAAACATTAATAAACCATAGTGATAGAGTAGCTAGTTCGTTGTGTCTGACATAATTAAACATCCATGAAACCTAGTTTCTACTATAAACCCAGTTATTTTTCACTTATGTTGGCGCCAACCTTGCGATTCCGTTTTCGGGCCACAATCCGGTAGTACGTTTCGCGTTTCGGGCCAAAAGGTCTAGATGACTTCACGGTCTATTTGATCATGGCAGGCCCCGGGCGGCAACATTGTGCGGTGACAGGCTTTGTGGGGCAGACCACTGATATTTCCAGGTTTTCTCGACGGATTGTCGCCACTTGCACTGAAATTGCCAGACTTCTTGAGTTTTGATGAGTTTACCGTTTACCAGCATTAATCCCATATAGTTTGTTCCTTTTGGTAGAGGATCAAAGCGCCAAGTCTGGATTCGTGGGTAGTGGTTCATATTCCATTTTAGGAATACTGACCATCCCCCGCCAATTGTTTCTTTAGTCCAGGCATATCAGGCACCATATGATGTACTCGCAATGGTGTAAATTCTGATATCCATGTTCACCATAATATAAGCTATGTATATTCACCAATGTATAATATTATAGATTATATATTGGTGATGTTTTTACATTATATTTAGATATATTTAGTTTATATATTATTTGAATCAATGTATAAACTATAGACAATATCATGCTTCAAGATCGACATTCACCAAATTGCCACGGCAGTCACAATTCGAGGGAGCATGAGCCCAACGTCTCTCGTTTCATAGCTGGTTTTTGTTGCGGGTGCAGTTCAAGGTTGGTATATAAGATTCCATAACTATATACTTATTGAAGTATATAACTATACTTAGAGGGGCCCCATATCAGCTTCGGTGGTTATATTGCTATAAAAGACTCTGTATTTGTATATAATTATATATAATCTGGCTACATTACTATGACATTATTGATTACAGTTGTTAGCCATCCAAATTTCCCGCACCAGTCCACCAGTCACATCCAGTCACCCTTTTCCTGGAGGCTCTGGCATCTACACGTGGTACGAGCTGATTCTGGGCACTTTCCTGGGCTGTGCGGTGCTCGCCAGCATTGTGCCCTGGCTGAGCCGGCTGTTTTGGTGAGATTGCAAGGTGGTGCCCCCGAAGTTGGAGAGCTTTTTGGTTGGTGCAAATAAGCCCATGACGGATCCATGGTGCTGGTATATATGCTAACATAAATGGGGTATATGGATGGGATCCATGTTAACATAGCATACATGGATCCTATGGGTAAGTAGGTTATCCACGGTTTATGGTAGACATTCTATATTTGTGGGGAGGTTATAAACCAACTTGCACAAGTGACCGGGGACTCCCCGGGGACCAACTAGTAAGCTGACAGCGTGGATGACTGGTTGAGCAATCATATGGGAACATACCCTTCAATACTCAAACACGGCTAGCTGGGAAATCCGCCATATAGTTCAATGATTTTCCTCTCAAAATTTCTATACTGGTTGGTGGTTTGGAAATGTTTGGAACATTTTTTGTTTTTCCATATATTGGGAACAATAATCCCAACTGACTATTACTTTTCAGAGCAGTTGAAACCACCAACCAGTTTGTATAGGCGATTGTCCAGCCAACCATGTTTGATTATCATAGGGTAACTCAATCCGACCAGCATTAAGCACCACAATGCCACCGTTCAGGCATGGATCATCACTACAATTCCTTTGGTCCTGATATTTCTACCCTTGCAACCCCAACAGTAGGGATATCATCGGCAAACTATATGTGGAAGATACCTCAGTTGCGATCACTATTTACCAACCTTGACATCTTCGAATGATACCCCATTTAGAGAACGGATGATGCCGAATTTGGAGAACTGACCATAGATCTATTCATCTTCCATTCCATATTTTTGCAGTGTCACCTCCTTGATCTCTCTCTCTCTCTCTCTCTCTATACACGTATATATATATACATGTGTATATATACATATCCAATTATACACAGATACATGAGGCCCCCAAGATGGCTCAGTTGGTTTATAAGTCCAATGACTATGCTTCATGACTTATGACTATGGTTATTGGGGTTTATAAACTATAGCTAGGGCCACTAGGGGTTTCCACTTTGTATCCCACATTATTATACCTATAATCAGTATATCAGTTTATTATAGTCAACATCCCTATATATATATGCCTATGCCTATAATATATATATACATACATATTATAGCACATATAACATGTATACTGGCATATATATATGTAGCTACTATGATTATATCAATCATAATCAAAAATGTACATATAGATAATACATATGAATAATATAGATTATAGATGTATCATATATTGTAGTATTGTGGGATAAACAAGTATTGTCCATAATACCAACCATTGCTATACCTATAATGATCTATAGTTATCGAAGGAAGTTTAGAAGTCAAACTTCCGACAATATGGAGAGATGAAAAGCAGAGCAGGGAAGAGGCAGAGAGAAGAGAAAGATTAGAAGAAAGAAGAGTAGAAGAGAAAGAGCAAGAAGACAGAAGATGCAGATGCCCGAAAAGGTAGGAAAGTCGCGAAACACTGTGTTTTTCCAATGATTTGTGGCTCCGGAGGGTCGAAAAGTAGGCTCGCTAAAGCGGCGGGTGCGGAGCCAGCTGGCCAGATGAGAGATGAAAATTTGCACGCCGTTGTGGCGCGAAGCACATTTTGAAGTCAAAATGTACAAAACACACCATTCTCGGACCACTTTTGGAAGTTGCGATGTCGAAAAAGTGCACGCCGTTGTGGCGCGAAGCACATTTGAAGTCAAAATGTACAAAACACACCATTCTCGGACCACTTTTGGAAGTTCAGATGTCGAAAAAGTGCACGCCGTTGTGGCGCGAAGCACATTTGAAGTCAAAATGTACAAAACACCTCAGTGTCGGACGACTTTTGGAAGTTCAGATGTCGAAAAAGTGCACGCCGTTTTGGCGCGAAGCACATTTCCAAGTCAAAAGTGTTAAAAACTGACGGTCTCGGACCACTTTTGGAGGTTCAGATGTCGAAAAAGTGTCGAAAAAGTGCACGCCGTTGTGGCGCAAAGCACATTTCGAAGTCAAAAGTGTAAAAAAATGAGGGTTTTGAGCCTTTTTTGACGTGAAGATGTCGAAAAAGTAGACACTGATTAACTTAACTAACTTGACTAACTTAACTAACTTCACTAACTTAACTACCCTAACTTCGACGACAACGACAACAACACAACAACAACAACCACAACAACTACAACTACAACAACTACAACAACTACAACTACAACAACTACACAACAACTACAACTACAACTAGAACTACAACTACAACAACTACAACAACAACAGCAACAACAACAACAGCAACAACAACAACAACAACAACTACAACTACAACTACAACTACAACAACTACAACAACAACTACTACTACAACTACACTACACAACAACTACAACCACACAACAACTACAGCTACAACAACAACAACGACAACAACTACTACTACTACAACTACAACAACAACAACTACAACTACAAAACAACTGCAGCTACAACTGTATGACTGCAACTACACTACACTAATTACATTACACCGCAACTACAACTCCACTACGCTACAACTACAACTACAGTTGCAGTACATCACACTACATCCAGCAGTTGTGGGTGAGGTGACCACTGCAACCATTGCAACCACTCCAGCAAACACAACTCCAACCACCTTTCGGTCAATCAGTGGATTCGCTCTGCCATCCGTGATTCACAACAACCAACGTCTCCTATAGGTTTCCTATTCTGAAACTTCCGCCACCGCCTTGTGCGGTACTACTGGTATAGAATGGGCTAGCGCCCGGGTGCCGCCGACCCCCCCTATTTGGGGGGTCCTGCAGAGAGAGGGAGAGAGATAGATGGATGGATGGATGGATGGATGGATAGATAGGTAGAGAGATAGAGAGAGAGAGAGATAGACAGATAGATAGATAGACAGTTGGATAGACAGATAAGTAGATGGAGAGATAGATGGATAGATAGCTGGATGGATAGATAGATAGATGGATAGATAGATAGAGAGGGAGAGATAGATAGAGGGGGAGAGAAAGATAGAGAGGGAGAGATAGATACTCCGACGGCATCCGACGGCATCAGCGGTTCAGTGGGTCAGTGGCGCGTCGCTTCCGGCGGGCCGTGCTGAGGTCGATGGTGGTACATGGTGGGACAGACATGGACATATATGTTTTGATATGCCCCAACATGCCGCAATTCAATCACAAGGTGCAATGTGTATGCAATGAGTATGACGCTACAAATTTGAAGTCAGACCTCAGTTCATATTTTTAAGCATATTTGGCCTCCTATCATTGTATGATTGGTGGTAGAGTATCATTGATTTTGAAACTCAGGGATAATCAAGGGTACTGATCTCCGGAAGCTGCTGAGCTTGCTGCGCCAGGGCCACGAGTTGTGGCGCCTCATCATCGCCTTTTGCGGGCTGGCAAACGGCAGGCTTGAACCACCATAAAAGGACAATGCCGGGGCTGGCAAACGGCATGGGAGCTGCAGGGAAGCATTTGGGGGGTTTTGCGGGCTGGCACACGGCAGGCTTGAACCACCATAAAAGGACAATGCCGGGGCTGGCAAACGGCATGGGAGCTGCAGGGAAGCATTTGGGGGGTTTTGCGGGCTGGCAAACGGCAGGCTTGAACCACCATAAAAGGACAATGCCGGGGCTGGCAAACGGCATGGGAGCTGCAGAGGAGCATTTGGGGGGTTTTGCGGGCGGGCAAACGGCAGGCTTGAACCACCATAAAAGGACAATGCCGGGGCTGGCAAACGGCATGGGAGCTGCAAGGAAGCATTTGGGGGGTTTAGGCTTGAACCACCATAAAAGGACAATGCCGGAGCTGGCAAACGGCATGGGAGCTGCAGGGAAGCATTTGGGGGGTTTTGCGGGCTGGCAAACGGCAGGCTTGAACTCCCTGAAAAACAGATGGCAGGGGCATGTAGCTGTAAGAATTGTTGCCTTGGAGGCCTGCGGAAGCGTTTGGAGGGTTTCAGGCCGGTCAAACGGCAGTCTTGAACTCCCTGAAAAACAGATGGCAGGGGCATGTAGCTGTAAGAGTTGTTGCCTTGGAGGCCTGCGGAAGCGTTTGGAGGGTTTCAGGCCGGTCAAACGGCAGGCTTGAACTCCCTGAAAAACAGATGGCAGGGGCATGTAGCTGTAAGAGTTGTTGCCTTGGAGGCCTGCAGAAGCGTTTGGGGGGTTTGAGGCCGGGCAAACGGCAGTCTTGAACCCCCTGAAAAACAGATGGCAGGGGCATGTAGGTGTAAGAGTTCGGCAGGAGCATGTAGATGGCTGGGGCATGTAGCTGGCAGAGGTGTTGTCTTGATGGCGTGTGCCTTTGCTTGCGACCCGAGAGCCAAGTTCCACACCTCCGGTGGTCCCAGGCGCCGCCCCTGCCTTGGCAAAGGCCGGGGTCGGCGGATATGGATATGATATAGGTACATATATGGTACATGAAACTATCCCACATTATTTCAGGAGATTTCAGTTTAAATGACAAGATGTGCCAGTTTTTTGGCCACGAATGGTCTGATTTGGACAGCCAACATGTGGATTCAACGAGGAACAAATGGGAGTTGGTCAGCCAACAACCAACATGGGCTTTGAAGCCAAACAGCTGGATTCGATCGTGAAGAAATGGGATGCTCAACAAACAAGAACACGGAATTCACCAACAAATCGCATCATTCAATAGGAATGAATGACCAACCTATGGTTTCTATGCATTATTTGACCGTTGCCTTGAGACCTGTTGTCACCGGAGGCTGCATTTCTGCAGCTTAAACGGCTTAGCAGAACCATGCGGATTTGATGAGATTTGGCATCCGATGGGGATGTATATAATGGGATATCACCAACATTTATGGGTAATCACCAGGAACACCACCAGGAAACTGAACCAAAGCACATTGAACGTGGCTAGCAGTGGCAGTTCCATGATCCGGATATTTTTCTGGGGTTCCTGTGGCACTGAACGCACCGAAAAAGGGTTGAATTGGTTGAATGCTACCGTTCCGCCTTTGTCTTTGGTTCATCATGTCGACTGCTGCAGGCGGGATTCTGAACATGTAAAAGAGAAGCCATTGCTGCGGCCGGAAGGGGCCCTTGAGCCATTGCTGTGGCCTTGTGGTGGCTTTTGCGTGCGGGAGTGGCGCGTGTTGGGCTTGTTGGGGTACCTTTTCCCTGCGGAGCTGGGCGGACTTTTGGAGCGTTTGGAGGGTTTGAGGCCTGGCAAACGGCAGCCTTGAACGCCTATAAGAAGCCATTGCTGCGGCCGGAAGGTGCCCTTGAGCCATTGCTGTGGCCTTGTGGTGGCTTTTGGGTGCGGGAGTGGCGCGTGTTGGGCTTGTTGGGGTACCTTGTCCCTGCGGAGCTATGCGAACTTTTGGAGCGTTTGGATGGTTTTGGAGCGTTTGGAGGGTTTGAGGCCTGGCAAACGGCAGCCTTGAACGCCTATAAGAAGCCATTGCTGCGGCCGGAAGGTGCCCTGGAGCCATTGCTGTGGCCTTGTGGTGGCTTTTGCGTGCGGGAGTGGCGCGTGTTGGGCTTGTTGGGGTACCTTGTCCCTGCGGAACTATGCGAACTTTTGGAGCGTTTGGAGGGTTTTGGAGGGTTTGAGGCCTGCGCAAACGGCAGCCTTGAACGCCTATAAGAAGCCATTGCTGCGGCCGGAAGGTGCCCTTGAGCCATTGCTGTGGCCTTGTGGTGGCTTTTGCGTGCGGGAGTGGCGCGTGTTGGGCTTGTTGGGGTACCTTGTCCCTGCGGAGCTATGCGAACTTTTGGAGCGTTTGGAGGGTTTCGGAGGGTTTGAGGCCTGGCAAACGGCAGCCTTGAACGCCTATAAGAAGCCATTGCTGCGGCCGGAAGGTGCCCGTGCGTTTGGAGGGTTTTGGAGGGTTTGGTTAGGCTTGTTGGGGTACCTTGTCCCTGCGGAGCTATGCGAACTTTTGGAGCGTTTGGAGGGTTTTGGAGCTTTTGGAGGGTTTGAGGCCTGGCAAACGGCAGCCTTGAACGCCTATAAGAAGCCATTGCTGCGGCCGGAAGGTGCCCTTGAGCCATTGCTGTGGCCTTGTGGTGGCTTTTGCGTGCGGGAGTGGCGCGTGTTGGGCTTGTTGGGGTACCTTGTCCCTGCGGAACTATGCGAACTTTTGAAGCGTTTGGAGGGTTTTGGAGGGTTTGAGGCCTGGCAAACGGCAGCCTTGAACGCCTATAAGAAGCCATTGCTGCGGCCGGAAGGTGCCCTTGAGCCATTGCTGTGGCCTTGTGGTAGCTTTTGCGTGCGGGAGTGGCGCGTGTTGGGCTTGTTGGGGTACCTTGTCCCTGCAGCTATGCGAACTTTTGGAGCGTTTGGAGGGTTTTGGAGCGTTTGGAGGGTTTGAGGCCTGGCAAACGGCAGCCTTGAACGCCTATAAGAAGCCATTGCTGCGGCCGGAAGGTGCCCTTGAGCCATTGCTGTGGCCTTGTGGTGGCTTTTGCGTGCGGAAGTGGCGCGTGTTGAGCTTGTTGGGGTACCTTGTCCCTGCGGAGCTATGCGAACTTTTGGAGCGTTTGGAGGGTTTGAGGCCTGGCAAACGGCAGCCTTGAACGCCTATAAGAAGCCATTGCTGCGGCCGGAAGGTGCCCTTGCGTTTGGAGGGTTTTGGAGGGTTTGGTTAGGCTTGTTGGGGTACCTTGTCCCTGCGGAGCTATGCGAACTTTTGGAGCGTTTGGAGGGTTTTGGTGCGTTTGGAGGGTTTGAGGCCTGGCAAACGGCAGCCTTGAACGCCTATAAGAAGCCATTGCTGCGGCCGGAAGGTGCCCTTGAGCCATTGCTGTGGCCTTGTGGTGGCTTTTGCGTGCGGAAGTGGCGCGTGTTGGGCTTGTTGGGATACCTTGTCCCTGCGGAGCTATGCGAACTTTTGGAGCGTTTGGAGGGTTTTGGAGCGTTTGGAGGGTTTTGGAGGGTTTGAGGCCTGGCAAACGGCAGCCTTGAACGCCTATAAGAAGCCATTGCTGCGGCCGGAAGGTGCCCTTGAGCCATTGCTGTGGCCTTGTGGTGGCTTTTGCGTGCGGGAGTGGCGCGTGTTGGGCTTGTTGGGGTACCTTGTCCCTGCGGAGCTATGCGAACTTTTGGAGCGTTTGGGGGGTTTTGGAGGGTTTGAGGCCTGGCAAACGGCAGCCTTGAACGCCTATAAGAAGCCATTGCTGCGGCCGGAAGGGGCCCTTGCGTTTGGAGGGTTTTGGAGGGTTTGGTTAGAGTGGCGCGTGTTGGGCTGTTGGGGTCCTCTTGTCCCCTGCGGAGGCTAATGCGAACTTTGGAGGCGTTTGGAGGGTTTGGAGGGTTTTGGAGGGTTTGAGGCCTGGCAAACGGCAGCCTTGAACGCCTATAAGAAGCCATTGCAGCGGCCGGAAGGGGCCCTTGAGCCATTGCTGTGGCCTTGTGGTGGCTTGTGCGTGCGGGAGTGGCGCGTGTTGGGCTTGTTGGGGTACCTTATCCCTGCGGAGCTATGCGAACTTTTGGAGCGTTTTGGAGGGTTTGAGGCCTGGCAAACGGCAGCCTTGAACGCCTATAAGAAGCCATTGCTGCGGCCGGAAGGTGCCCTTGAGCCATTGCCGTGGCCTTGTGGTGGCTTGTGCGTGCGGGAGTGGCGCGTGTTGGGCTTGTTGGGGTACCTTGTCCTTGCGGAGCTATGCGAACTTTTGGAGCGTTTGGAGGGTTTTGGAGGGTTTGAGGCCTGGCAAACGGCAGCCTTGACGCCTATAGAAAGCCTTGGCCTTGCGGCCTGAAGGTGCCCTTTGAGCCTTGCTGTGGCCTTGTGGTGGCTTTTGCGTGCGGGAGTGCGCGTGTTGGGGGGCTGTTGGTGTACCTTTTTCCCTGCGACTATGCGAACTGTTGGAGCGTTTGGAGGGTTTTGGAGGGTTTGAGGCCTGGCAAACGGCAGCCTTGAACGCCTATAAGAAGCCATTGCTGCGGCCGGAAGGTGCCCTTGAGCCATTGCCGTGGCCTTGTGGTGGCTTGTGCGTGCGGGAGTGGCGCGTGTTGGGCTTGTTGGGGTACCTTGTCCCTGCGGAGCTATGCGAACTTTTGGAGCGTTTGGAGGGGTTTGGAGGGTTTGAGGCCTGGCAAACGGCAGCCTTGAACGCCTATAAGAAGCCATTGCTGCGGCCGGAAGGTGCCCTTGAGCCATTGCTGTGGCCTTGTGGTGGCTTTTGCGTGCGGGAGTGGCGCGTGTTGGGCTTGTTGGGGTACCTTTTCCCTGCGGAGCTATGCGAACTTTTGGAGGGTTTGGAGGGTTTTGGAGGGTTTGACGCCTGGCAAACGGCAGCCTTGAACGCCTATAAGAAGCCATTGCAGCGGCCGGAAGGTGCCTTTTCCCTGCGGAGCTATGCGAACGTTTGGAGGGTTTGGAGGGTTTTGGAGGGTTTGAGGCCTGGCAAACGGCAGCCTTGAACGCCTATAAGAAGCCATTGCTGCGGCCGGAAGGTGCCCTTGAGCCATTGCTGTGGCCTTGTGGTGGCTTTTGCGTGCGGGAGTGGCGCGTGTTGGGCTTGTTGGGGTACCTTGTCCCTGCGGAGCTATGCGAACTTTTGGAGCGTTTGGAGGGTTTTGGAGGGTTTGAGGCCTGGCAAACGGCAGCCTTGAACGCCTATAAGAAGCCATTGCTGCGGCCGGAAGGTGCCCTTGAGCCATTGCTGTGGCCTTGTGGTGGCTTTTGCGTGCGGGAGTGGCACGTGTTGGGCTTGTTGGGGTACCTTGTCCTTGCGGAGCTATGCGAACTTTTGGAGCGTTTGGAGGGTTTTTGGAGGGTTTGAGGCCTGGCAAACGGCAGCCTTGAACGCCTATAAGAAGCCATTGCAGCGGCCGGAAGGTGCCCTTGAGCCATTGCTGTGGCCTTGTGGTGGCTTGTGCGTGCGGGAGTGGCGCGTGTTGGGCTTGTTGGGGTACCTTGTCCCTGCGGAGCTGGGCGGACGTTTGGAGGGTTTGGAGCGTTTGAGGCCTGGCAAACGGCAGCCTTGAAGGCCTATAAGAGGCCCTTATAGCCATGGCTGCGGCCGGGGGGTGCCCTTCAGCCATTGCTGTGGCCTTGTGGTGGCTTTTGCGTGCGGGAGTGGCGCGTGTTGGGCTTGTTGGGGGACCTTGTCCCTGCGGGGCTATGCGAACTTTTGGAGCGTTTGGAGGGTTTTGGAGGGTTTGAGGCCTGGCAAACGGCAGCCTTGAACGCCTATAAGAAGCCATTGCTGCGGCCGGAAGGTGCCCTTGAGCCATTGCTGTGGCCTTGTGGTGGCTTTTGCGTGCTGGGCGTGTTGGAAAAGTTCCACACCTGCGGTGGTCCCAGGCGCCGCCCCGGCCTTGGCGAAGGCCGGGGTCGGCGGATCACTTGTTGGTGTGTCTATGCTAGGACCCGCAGGTTGACATTTTAAGACGTTGGCGTCGCAGGAAGTGAGCTGAGCCAGGACAAAGTCCAGGCCAGGTGGGAGCTGCACGATGGAATTTGGAGAATTTGGAGGTTGTCATTCTTTTAAGTTGGTCACGAAACTGCAAAGCCAATCCGTTTAGACACGGCTTTTCCACCTGTCTTTTAATTCAATAGACCATACGGTTACCATATCATTTCCAGAAAAGAACCAACTGTGACATCCTGTGAACGTTCCGTGTATTCAGCTGAGCCTTGAACGGTTGGATGGTTGCCGGGCCATGTCCAAACGGGTCAAGGCCAGTCTTCGGAAGCTGCCGAGGAACAGCGCCCTGCACGCAAGTAGACCCGCCAACCCATAGATGCCACAGATGCAGGTGCCTTTTTTTGGTGTTGAGCTGCTTGCAGCGGTCTTCGGAGGGTAAGTAGATGTACATAGTAAACTGAGTAAACCATAGAGCGATTTCCAGACACATGTCAAGATATGTCAAGGAGACCAGGTGTTTTGCTCAGCGTAGCTGAGGTGAAGGTCACCTGGACATCGTGAAACTGTCCAAGTACTTCTTGGAGCTTGGCGACTCTCAGGCCCCGCAATGCTCCGCAGCTCCTCTGATGCTGTAACTGAGTCATGGACCATTAGCGCTTGACAATCTGCCACAGTTTGACAACATGCCGAGGTTTGAAAACCTTCCAGAGTTGAACATGTGGAAGAGAGAGAGAGAGAGATGTTCTTGTTCGTTTTTCTTTGTGGAAGAGAGCTGTGAGGCTGAGAGTATCAATGCTTCTTTGATGTGGAACCTTGTCAGCGTTGGCGGCCTCGTCAGGTTGAAGCTGACGACTCGATTCCTGGTACAGCGAAAACTAGGCGGGCAGCACTTGATGCTCAGGGCTCCCAGTTGTGGTACAGGTGCCTCACAGGTGCTGAAAAGGATTGAAAAGGCAAAAATGGTCGATGCTCGCTCAACTATTAGCTCGTTTTTTGCCTGTTCTGTTTCAGGACATGTCGCATGTGGTTCAAACAAACGGGACCCAAAATCGACTGAGCAGGGACAAAAATCCCATCTTGGCATGCGCTCGTATGAATCAACCTTTCCCGGTGTCCAATGTCGATTTAGAGAGGCAAAGGCGAACAACCCATCCACGCAGTCGTGACCAGGCAGGATGTCGCCTCCCAGGTGCGAGAAGCGCGGGAGCTCAGCAGCGATGCTTCGAGCTTCCCTAGTTTTTCACCGAGGGAGATATCACAAGGGAATCCATTGCACTTGTGGCCACCAGTTCATCATGCGCCTAGGACTAAATGATGTAGGTCTGGTCGTAGTATTTGTATGTATTTGTATCATATTATTCATTCAATTATTCCCACATTTATTGGTCTTGGAACCGTCTAATATCGGCATATTGGATGGGGATTGGTTGTCTCACAAATTCATTGATTGACGATGATTGACGAAGGCCATTGCCGAAGCGGCCGACGCAGAAGCCTGGTTCCGAGTACCACGTGGAGAAAATGTCAGTTGGCACATGACCGGGGAAGAACTCTGTCCATATGTGAAGGCCACCAACAGTATATGCACCTGCTCAATCATTCCAGCACGATGTCAACATGAGTATATTAGCAATTGTTTCTTTACCTTTTCTTTTTCCCCACCTGCCAGGTGAGGGTTGTTAGATTTTATCTAAGTTGCCTGGTCCTCCTCCTCCTGCCTCCTCCTCCTGCCTCCTCCTCCTCCTCTCCTCCTCCTCTCGTTGTCCTCCTCCTCTCGTTGTCCTCCTCCTCTCGTTGTCCTCCTCGTCCTCCTGCTCAACTGCGACTCGCGATCCACAGTGTTCGCTGTCGGACCTCAACCACGACCATCCACGCCCAGTGTTCCCTGCCGGACCTCAACCACGACCATCCACGCCCAATGTTCCCTGCCGGACCTCAACCACGACCATCCTCGCCCAGTGTTCCCTGCCGGACCTCAACCACGACCATCCACGCCCAGGGTTCCCTGCCGGACCTCAACCGCGAGTATCCACGCCAAGGGTTCCCTGCCGGACCTCATGTAGGAAGATATGGGACAAAGAATGTGCAGAAGAAAGTTAGAAAGAATGTCAGACAAGTATGTTATATATTACTTGCAAACTCGCGCGTGTGTGGTAGAGTGACCGGGGCAATGCCACTTCTTACTTTGCAGGTGGCAAAGTTTGAAGCAATCAGTTTGAACAGATGACAGAGTCACTGGGGTGGACAGAGACATTTCCACTTCTGTACCTTTGGAGCTGTTTGCAAAGACGCTTGAGACAGGCAACATCTTAAAACATATGCCAGAACATATGCCAGAAGATATGCCAGATAGAATACCAGATAGAATGCCAGAAGATTTGCCAGATAGAATGCCAGAAGATATGTCAGATAGAATGCCAGAAGATAAGCCAGAACATATGCCAGAAGATATGCCAGATAGAATGCCAGATAGAATGCCAGAAGATTTGCCAGATAGAATGCCAGAAGATATGCCAGATAGAATGCCAGAAGATATGCCAGAAGATATGCCAGGTAGAATGCCAGAAGATATGCCAGATAGAATGCCAGATGGAATGCCAGAAGATATGCCAGAACATATGCCAGAAGATATGCCAGATAGAATGCCAGATAGAATGCCAGAAGATATGTCAGATAGAATGCCAGAAGATTTGCCAGATAGAATGCCAGAAGATATGCCAGATAAAATGCCATGAGATATGCCAGATAGAATGCCAGAAGATATGCCAGACAGAATGTTAGAAGATATGCCAGATAGAATGCCAGAAGGTATGCCAAAAAGAATGCCAGATAAAATGTCAGATAGAATGCCAGAAGATTTGCCAGATAATTTGCCAGAAGATATTCCAGATAAAATGCCATGAGATATGCCAGAAGATATGCCAGGTAGAATGCCAGAAGATATGCCAGATAGAATGCCAGATGGAATGCCAGAAGATATGCCAGAACATCTGCCAGAAGATATGCCAGGTAGAATGCCAGAAGCTATGCCAGATAGAATGCCAGATAGAATGCCAGAAGATATGTCAGATAGAATGCCAGATAGAATACCAGAAGATATGTCAGATAGAATGCCACAAGATTTGCCAGTAACAAAATGTATATATATAAACATGGTGGGGATCACACGAAGTAAAGTAATTGAAGGATTTCCGCGTGTGGAGCCATTGAATTTGCCCCAAGGCTCGATACAACTTGAAAGATCCACAGGCTTTCGCCCAGTTCCTACAAGATTCGGATGTTCGGTTGGTACGAGCCAAGTTTGACCCCCAGTCGTTGTGGCTATGTGCTCTACAGTAAAGCAGTGCTGTGCAGTGCTGTGCAGCGCTGTGCAGTGCTGTGCAGTGCTGTGCAGTGCTGTACAGATTTGCATGTGGAAGTGCTCGATCATTGAATCCTTAGATTGCAGCCAAAGCAGGACCAATGGTTATATACACGCAAAGAATTATGCTTTGTCTTCCTCGTCTTCTTGTAAGTGAATATTCAAGCCAAAAAGGACAGAGCCAGTGATATTTCACATGAAGATGGCAAGTCAGATAGCTGAACAATTCAGCACGCGAGCCACAAATGCCAGCTTCAACCCCCCTAGGCCCTAGAGGCCAGAAACTCATGACAAAAGATGTTTCCGTTCATGTCTGACATGAGACATGACGCACCCTTACAGAAATCTGCGCTGAGGTACCTTTCTGATTTGGTTCTCTCCAAACGGCCGCTACCGAGACGGCAAGAAGCAGAAACCGAGACCTTCACGTGCGATGGCGAGCCTCAGAGTGCGTTGGTGACGCACGAAGAAGTGCAAAATTGGGCCAATGGGACCCAGGAGGCGATCATTTGTTCCATTTCCCACGCCTGGGAAACCAGGGAACATCCAGATCCCTGTCGGCACCAATTGCAGCAGATCGTCAATCATACTGGACTGTATGATGCTGCATTCGAAGCAGACATTTGGATCTTCTATGATTACAGCTCGCTCTTCCAATACGAAAGAACCAACTCACATGAAGAGAAGAGCTTTCGAAAGGCGATGAGCAACATGCACCTCATGTATGCTCACGAATGCACTTTGACATTCAGGATCGAAACCCTTACTCCAGAGCATGTTTGGAACACCATGCTGGCTGATGAAGAAGTTGTTGTCCGAGTGTATGATGCAGGCAGCAAGACTCTGAAAGAGAAGCCCTTGAAGCTCTTGGAAGCCAACAGAACTCCATACTTACAGCGAGGGTGGTGTATGGCAGAAATCGAATGGTCATCTCTGAGAGGAGTGAATGCACAACATCAACACATCGACAGGCCGAAGGATCCGAAGTCTGAGACGCAGAAATCCGATCATCTCAATGGGAGAGTTCCTATGATCCCTGAGAAGTTCAGGCAGCAAATGGAGCAAGCAAAGTTCACCCATCGCTCGGATGCTGAAGCAGTGATCTATTTGCAACAGAAGATTTTCAGGGAGAAGGTGATCGAATGTCAACACTTGGTGTTAGAAGGCCTTCCGGCCCAAGAGATCTTGGCACTAGCGCATGCGCTCCCACACTACGAAAATCTGAAGAGCTTGACGGTGAGGAGGTTTCAATGTGGCGAGGAAGAGGCAACGTCCCTAGGGAAGGCCCGAGACATGTCGGTGATGGTGGTGCTAGCTGATGCTAGTTGTGTGACCTTGCATGGAAAAAATGTTGCCGTGTCCTGAAAAAACTTGGCGCCCTGCAGGCTTTGGCATCAAGTCAAGCGGAGACGCTTGAAATCCGTGGCATCGGTGAAAGTGGCCGCTTCATGGTGAAGGCAGCAGATTGTTTGATCATTGATTCACTTGCTTGATACGATTGCTTGCTCACCCACATACAACAATAAAAGGCAAGTCGCTGAATTGCTGGGTGACCTCCTCTTGGAGTCATTTGAAGCATATCACGGGTAGCTAGCTGGAGTTGCTTCTCACGGTAGCAAGGGATGTGGGAGGCAGCGATTACCCCGGTTCCGCCCATTGAACACCCCTGGCTGATTGAGGCTTGATTTCCCACAAGACCACACCATCTACATCAGCTATCATTTTGGACATAAAGCTCGAAATGTAACATGATGTTACCTTGGAACATGGCTCGGCTCACTCCACCTCACACTTTCCAACGCTCTCCACTCTCAAGTCATCTAACTCGGTCCACTGCACTCGATCAAACTCACTCCACTGAATTCACTCCATCCAACTCACTCATTCTATCCAACTCTAGCAATCCAACGAACTCACTCTAACAAACTTCACCAATCTCATTCCGCCCAGCCCACTCCATCCAACTCACCACCTGACTAACTCCACTCAGAGCCACCTTCACTCCCTTGCCCATGTTCCCCTTACATCTCGCTTCGCCAAGTCTCTTTACTGATTTTACTTGTTGCAGTTGCTGACCCGGATCTTTGATGTCTTGTGTTTCTTTCAGGCTCTCGCGGAAGCCTTGAAGATCAATAGCTCCGTGCGGGACATGAATTTGGCATTCAATGAGATTGGTGCCGAGGGAGCTCAGGCCTGGCCTGTATCGGATGTCTGGGGCTCTTTGGCTTAGACTCAACCCACATCAAGGGGTATCACAAGTATTATGATGTTCTCTCTGGGTAGATGTTGCTTGCTTGACTTCAGTTTGGTTGTTGGTGATGTGTCCAGGCCTAGTCTCTTTGACATGCTTTCATTCGAAGCATTTCCAGATCAGCTTCAAGTGAGTGTCATGTCGATTCGTAGGTTGGTCTAGCTTGGTCAGAGGCGAGCCAAGTCTCTTTACTAATTTTACTTGTTGCAGTTGCTGACCCGGATCTTTGATGTCTTGTGTTTCTTTCAGGCTCTCGCAGAAGCCTTGAAGATCAATAGCTCCGTGCGGGATTTGAATTTGAAATATAACCTTATTGGTCCCGAGGGAGCTCAGGCCCGGCCTGTACTGGAAGTCTTGGTCTCTTTGGCTTAGACGTAACCCACATCAAGGGGTATCACAAGTATTATGATGTTCTCTCTGGGTAGATGTTGCTTGCTTGACTTCAGTTTGGTTGTTGGTAATGTGTCCAGGCATAGCCTCTTTGACATGCTTTCATTCGAAGCATCTCCAGATCAGCTTCAAGTGAGTGTCATGTCGATTCGTAGGTTGGTCTAGGTTGGTCAGAGGCGAGCCAAGTCTCTTTACTAATTTTACTTGTTGCAGTTGCTGACCCGGATCTTTGATGTCTTGTGTTTCTTTCAGGCTCTCGCGGAAGCCTTGAAGATCAATAGCTCTGTGCGGGACATGAATTTGGAAGATAACAAGATTGGTTCCGAGGGAGCTCAGGCCTGGCCTGTATCGGATGTCTGGGGCTCTTTGGCTTAGACTCAACCCACATCAAGGGGTATCACAATAAGTATTATGATGCTCTCTCTGGGTAGATGTTGCTTGCTTGACTTCAGTTTGGTTGTTGGTGATGTGTCCAGGCATAGCCTCTTTGACATGCTTTCATTCAAAGCATTTCCAGATCAGCTTCAAGTGAGTGTCATGTCGATTCGTAGGTTGGTCTAGCTTGGTCAGAGGCGAGCCAAGTCTCTTTACTAATTTTACTTGTTGCAGTTGCTGACCCGGATCTTTGATGTCTTGTGTTTCTTTCAGGCTCTCGCAGAAGCCTTGAAGATCAATAGCTCCGTGCGGGACATGAATTTGGAATCTAATGAGATTGGTCCCGAGGGAGCTCAGGCCCGGCCTGTACTGGAAGTCTTGGTCTCTTTGGCTTAGACTCAACCCGCATCAAGGGGTATCCCAAGTATGATGATAATTTCTCTGGGTAGATGTAGCTTGCTTGATTTCAGTTTTGTTGTTGGTGATGTGTCCAGGCCTAGTCTGTTTGACATGCTTTCATTCGAAGCATTTCCAGATCAGCTTCAAGTGAGTGTCATGTCGATTCGTAGGTCTAGATTGGTCAGAGGCGAGCCAAGTCTCTCTACTTAATTTACTTGTTGCAGTTGCTGACCCGGATCTTTGATGTCTTGTGTTTCTTTCAGGCTCTCGCAGAAGCCTTGAAGATCAATAGCTCCGTGCGGGACATGAATTTGGAATGGAATGGCATCGGTGATGAGGGAGCTCAGGCCTGGCCTGTATCGGATGTGTTGGGCTCTTTGGCTTAGATGTAGCCCATATCAAGGGGTATCACAAGTATTATGATGTTCTCTCTGGGTAGATGTTGCTTGCTTGACTTCAGTTTGGTTGTTGGTGATGTGTCCAGGCCTAGTCTGTTTGACATGCTTTCATTCGAAGCATTTCCAGATCATCTTCAAGTGAGTGTCATATCGATTCGAAGGTTGGTCCAGGTTGCTCAGAGGTGAGCCAAGTTTTCTTACGTTTTGCACATATTGACCATAAATGACCATTGACGACTTGATGACAAATATGACCGAAGTGGAGTTGAGGTGTATATTTTTTTGGGGTGCTAACCCACAGTCAATTTCTTGGCTGGCTCGCCGCCGGACTAATCTACAGAGTCTCAAGTTGTTGTCTCAGCATGCGGCCAAAACTTCTCATATAAAATCTCAGGGGCCTAGTGTGGATTGCCCTTTCACACTTGGGAACGTGCATCTGTCACAGCGAGCTTCGACTCGACCTTGGCTTTAGCCAGGCTCTTGCAGATGCTTTGCTTCAGAGGAAGACTTCAGTCAGAGACACCTTGGCTGATGACTTGGACGACGGAGTCAAGGCCTGGGGCTCTGAGTGGCTTCATGCATCACAATGCGGAGGGGCTTGAGTTTTTCCGTTGCCGCTGCTTTGATATCCAAATATTTTACTTATCTTGATCTTGTTCAACTTTTCGAAAAACTTGCCAAGTTTACCTCTGTGTCTTGTGGCATGCTCAACAGGAGAGTGCTGATCAAGTCCCCGGCAGACGCCCTTTTGAAGCACCGGTTCGTCTTCAGGCAGGTTTCCTGTGCTGCGGCGCAAGGTGACAACGTTCTCCTTTCTGGAAGGACAATTGATGGATTTTGTCCCACTGTTTCAATTCAGTTTTCCTCAAGGGCTTCTGCTAAATCGACTGGACAACCACCTGGGGCAGTTCTGCAGCGTTGTTTCTGTCAATTTTCTGTCAATCGATTCGACATAAGTTGGTTCACTGTTCCCACGCAAAGCTGCAGCCGTTGTGACATTTGCTGAACAGTTCCAAGTAATTACTGTTGTCGAACCGAGATTTTCAGGATACGCATCTGTTGATTCTCTGGACAATTTTGGCCGCATGTGGTTTGCACTGGGTTAGACATGGGACGACCACCCTTGTTTAAATACTTGGCAATGATTGAATTGCAATTCCATCGGCGATGAGGGCGCTCAGGCCTTTCCCGGGATTCCAAGTGTCTGTTCATGGTGTCTTTGTCGCCAGCTTGAAAGGCTTTGTAGTTTGCTCATGCTTATCCTTCGCATTTCCAGTTTCCAATTTTTGTTGACTGTCAGTGAAGTGGGTGAATTTCTTTTTGACTTGAACTCATTCTGTGTGGTATGATGTGGTATGCTTTCTACTGGGATATTGGCATGATCTGTGGCGGAGAACGCACCTCTGTAAACGACATTTGCCCTGAATCCTAAATCCACTGGGATTTGTTTTTTGGAAACTCAGAGTCGGAAACTGAGAGTTCTGTCTCCTTTGTATTTCATGAGGTCTCACAGATGTCAGCCTTGGTCTACTTCCACATCGCTTTCCCTTTTGCCAGGCACTAGCTGAAGCTTTGAAGACGAACACTTCCGTGACAAGCATCCACCTGTGTGGCAATTCCATCGGCGCTGAGGGAGTGAAGGCCTTTTGTGTCCCGGGATTCCAAGTGGCTGCTCATGGTGTCTTTGTCGCCAGTTTGGTGAAAGGTTTTGTAGTCTGCTCATGCTCATCCATCACATTTCCAGTTTCCAATTTTTGTTGACTGTGAGTAAAGTGGGTGAATTGCTTTTTTACTTGAACTCATTCTGTGTGGTATGATGTGGTATGCCTGGTATGCTTTCTACTGGGATATTGGCATGATATTGGCTGGAAGTGCATCTCTGTGTCAAAGACATTTGCCCTGAATCCAGTGGGATTTGTTCTTTGGAAACTCGGAGTCGGAAACTGAGAGTTGTGTCTCATTTGTATTTTATGAGGTCTCGCAGATGTCAGATTTGATCTACTTCCATGTCGCTTTCCCTTCGGCCAGGCACTAGCCGAAGCTTTGAAGACGAACACTTCCGTGACAAGCATCAACCTGCAATGGAATTCCATCGGCGATGAGGGGGTGAAGGCCTGTCCCGGGATTCCAAGTGGCTGCTCATGGTGTCTTTGTCGCCAGCTTTTTGGAAGGCTTTGTAGTTTGCTCATGCTCATCCTTCGCATTTCCAGATTTTCAAATTAAGTCGACTGTGAGTGTAGTGGGTGAAATTCTTTTTGACTTGAACCCATTCTGTGTGGTATGATGTGGTATGCCTGGTATGCTTTCTACTGGGATATTGGCATGATATGTGGCGGAGAATGCACCTCTGTAAACGACATTTGCCCTGAATCCAGTGGGAATTGTTCTTTGGAAACTCAGAGTCGGAAACTGAGAGTTGTGTCTCATTTGATCTCATTTGTATTTCATGACGTCTCACAGATGTCAACCTTGATCTACTTCCAAGTCGCTTTCCCTTTGGCCAGGCACTGGCTGAAGCTTTGAAGACGAACACTTCCGTGACAAGCATCCACCTGTGTGGCAATTCCATCGGCGCTGAGGGAGTGAAGGCCTTTTGTGTCCCGGGATTCCAAGTGGCTGCTCATGGTGTCTTTGTCGCCAGTTTGGTGAAAGGTTTTGTAGTCTGCTCATGCTCATCCATCACATTTCCAGTTTCCAATTTTTGTTGACTGTGAGTGAAGTGGATGAATTTCTTTTTGACTTGAACTCATTCTGTGTGGTATGATGTGGTATGCTTTCTACTGGGATATTGGCATGATATTGGCTGGAAATGCATCTGAGCAAACGACATTTGCCCTGAATCCTAGATCCAGTGGGAATTGTTCTTTGGAAACTCAGAGTCGGAAACTGTGAGTTGTGTCTCATTTGATCTCATTTGTATTTCATGACGTCTCACAGATGTCAACCTTGATCTACTTCCAAGTCGCTTTCCCTTTGGCCAGGCACTGGCTGAAGCTTTGAAGACGAACACTTCCGTGACAAGCATCGACCTGCATTCCAATTCCATCGGCGCTGAGGGAGTGAAGGCCTTTAGTGTCCCGGGATTCCAAGTGGCTGCTCATGGTGTCTTTGTCGCCAGTTTGGTGAAAGGTTTTGTAGTCTGCTCATGCTCATCCATCACATTTCCAGTTTCCAATTTTTGTTGACTGTGAGTGAAGTGGGTGAATTGCTTTTTGACTTGAACTCATTCTGTGTGGTATGATGTGGTATGCCTGGTATGCATTCTACTGGGATATTGGCATGATATTGGCTGGAAATGTATCGAGTATACGACATTTGCCCTGAATCCATCTGAATCCTAGATCCAGTGGGATTTGTTCTTTGGAAACTCTGAGTCGGAAACTGAGAGTTGTGTCTCATTTGTATTTCATGACGTCTCACGGATGTCAGCTTTGATCTACTTCCATGTCGCTTTCCCTTTGGCCAGGCACTAGCTGAAGCTTTGAAGAAGAACACTTCTGTGACAAGCATCGATTTGGGTGGCAATTCCATCGGCGATGAGGGAGTGAAGGCCTTTTGTGTCCCGGGATTCCAAGTGGCTGCTCATGGTGTCTTTGTCGCCAGTTTGGTGAAAGGTTTTGTAGTCTGCTCATGCTCATCCATCACATTTCCAGTTTCCAATTTTTGTTGACTGTGAGTGAAGTGGGTGAATTGCTTTTTGACTTGAACTCATTCTGTGTGGTATGATGTGGTATGCCTGGTATGCTTTCTACTGGGATATTGGCATGATATTGGCTGGAAATGTATCTGAGTAAACGTCATTTGCCCTGAATCCATCTTTATCCTAGATCCAGTGGGATTTGTTCTTTGGAAACTCTGAGTCGGAAACTGAGAGTTGTGTCTCATTTGTATTTCATGACGTCTCACGGATGTCAGCTTTGATCTACTTCCATGTCGCTTTCCCTTTGGCCAGGCACTAGCTGAAGCTTTGAAGAAGAACACTTCTGTGACAAGCATCAACTTGGAAAGCAATTCCATCGGCGATGAGGGAGTGAAGGCCTTTTGTGTCCCGGGATTCCAAGTGGCTGCTCATGGTGTCTTTGTCGCCAGTTTGGTGAAAGGTTTTGTAGTCTGCTCATGCTCATCCATCACATTTCCAGTTTCCAATTTTTGTTGACTCTGAGTGAAGTGGGTGAATTGCTTTTTGACTTGAACTCATTCTGTGTGGTATGATGTGGTATGCTTTCTACTGGGATATTGGCATGATATTGGCTGGAAATGTATCTGAGTAAACGACATTTGCCCTGAATCCATCTGAATCCTAGATCCAGTGGGATTTGTTCCTTGGAAACTCAGAGTCGGAAACTGAGAGTTGTGTCTCATTTGATCTCATTTGTATTTCATGAGGTCTCACAGATGTCAACCTTGATCTACTTCCAAGTCGCTTTCCCTTTGGCCAGGCACTGGCTGAAGCTTTGAAGACGAACACTTCCGTGACACGCATCAACCTGTATGCCAATTCCATCGGCGCTGAGGGAGTGAAGGCCTTTAGTGTCCCGGGATTCCAAGTGGCTGCTCATGGTGTCTTTGTCGCCAGTTTGGTGAAAGGTTTTGTAGTCTGCTCATGCTCATCCATCACATTTCCAGTTTCCAATTTTTGTTGACTGTCAGTGAAGTGAAGTGAATGAATTGACTTTTGACTTGAACTCATGCTGTGTGGTATGATGTGGTATGCCTGGTATGCTTTCTACTGGGATATTGGCATGATATTGGCTGGAAGTGCATCTCTGTGTCAAAGACATTTGCCCTGAATCCAGTGGGATTTGGAAACTGGGAGTTGTGTCTCATTTGTATTTCATGAGGTCTCGCAGATGTCAGATTTGATCTACTTCCATGTCGCTTTCCCTTCGGCCAGGCACTAGCCGAAGCTTTGAAGACGAACACTTCCGTGACAAGCATCGGCCTGCGTGGCAATTCCATCGGCGATGAGGGAGTGAAGGCCTTTTGTGTCCCGGGATTCCAAGTGGCTGCTCATGGTGTCTTTGTCGCCAGTTTGGTGAAAGGTTTTGTAGTCTGCTCATGCTCATCCATCACATTTCCAGTTTCCAATTTTTGTTGACTGTGAGTAAAGTGGGTGAATTGCTTTTTTACTTGAACTCATTCTGTGTGGTATGATGTGGTATGCCTGGTATGCTTTCTACTGGGATATTGGCATGATATTGGCTGGAAGTGCATCTCTGTGTCAACGACATTTGCCCTGAATCCAGTGGGATTTGTTCTTTGGAAACTCTGAGTCGGAAACTGAGAGTTCTGTCTCATTTGTATTTCATGAGGTCTCACGGATGTCAGATTTGATCTACTTCCATGTCGCTTTCCCTTTGGCCAGGCACTAGCTGAAGCTTTGAAGAAGAAAGCTTTGAAGAAGAACGCTTCTGTGACAAGCATCAACCTGCAATGCAATTCCATCGGCAAAAAGGGAGTGAAGGCCTTTTGTGTCCCGGGATTCCAAGTGGCTGCTCATGTTGTTTTTGTCGCCAGCTTTTGAAAGGCTTTGTAGTTTGCTCATGCTCATCCTTCGCATTTCCAGGCTCCAATTTTTGTTGGCTGTCAGTGAAGTGAAGTGAATGAATTGATTTTTGACTTGAACTCATTCTGTGTGGTATGATGTGGTATGCCTGGTATGCTTTCTACTAGGATATTGGCATGATATTGGCTGGAAGTGCATCTCTGTGTCAAAGACATTTGCCCTGAATCCAGTGGGATTTGTTGTTTGGAAACTCGGAGTCGGAAACTGAAAGTTGTGTCTCATTTGTATTTCATGAGGTCTCGCAGATGTCAACCTTGATCTACTTCCATGTCGCTTTCCCTCCGGCCAGGCACTAGCTGAAGCTTTGAAGAAGAACACTTCTGTGACAAGCATCAACCTGGATGACAATTCCATCGGCAAAAAGGGAGTGAAGGCCTTTTGTGTCCCGGGATTCCAAGTGGCTGCTCATATTGTTTTTGTCGCCAGCTTTTGAAAGGCTTTGTAGTTTGCTCATGCTCATCCTTCGCATTTCCAGGCTCCAATTTTTGTTGGCTGTCAGTGAAGTGAAGTGAATGAATTGATTTTTGACTTGAAGTCATTCTGTGTGGTATGATGTGGTATGCCTGGTATGCTTTCTACTGGGATATTGGCATGATATTGGCTGGAAGTGCATCTCTGTGTCAAAGACATTTGCCCTGAATCCAGTGGGATTTGTTCTTTGCAAACTCGGAGTCGGAAACTGAGAGTTCTGTCTCATTTGTATTTCATGAGGTCTCGCAGATGTCAGCCTTGATCTACTTCCATGTCGCTTTCCCTCCAGCCAGGCACTGGCTGAAGCTTTGAAGACGAACACTTCTGTGACAAGCATCGACCTGGATGACAATTCCATCGGCGATGAGGGAGTGAAGGCCTTTTGTGTCCCGGGATTCCAAGTGGCTGCTCATGGTGCCTCTGCTTATTCTTGGTGTTGAGGTTCAGATTCTGACCCTGACTGAAGGGTGCTGAGGGTGCTGAGGGTGCTGAGGGTGCTGAGGGTGCTGAGGGTGCTGAGGGTGCTGAGGGCTAGCGCTGTGGGGGACATCATAGTGCCATCCAGCACTGCGCACAGCCAGGCCTTGAAGCAAGTGATCGAGGAAAAGAAGAAGATGGGTTTCGAACTTCGCATTGAGCCCTTTTCCGGCGCACAGCCAGGTTTCGAGCTCGACATCGGATTCTAGAGATCTCAGCTGAGCAGAGCCTCAAAAGTCAACTCCAAGCGGATGCGGAGGGTCAGTCTGCTTGCTCCTGAGTGTGCGAGACCTACATGTTTATTGTTTAATCATGATATATCATGATCATCTTTGATTGATCTAGAGCACCTGCGACTTGTGAGATGCCCTGCACGGTGATTTTTTTTGATCCAAAGATAGATAGATTGGGAATTTCGACCTGGAATGGCGATCGCAACGATTTTTGTGGCACCAAAAATCCGCAAAAAACCATTCCCAATCTGTGGTTTATTTAAGGGCTGACGCCCCTCGTCGGCTCCGCCGGATTTCTCGACCCTCCATTTCATCGCAGTGTGGGCTTGAAAGCTTTTGGATGGGGACCTGCTTCAGAAATATATTCCTTATGTTTTTTGAAAATAGTTCATGGAATAGGAACTTTGTTGGAAATAGACGGCTTTTTTGGGGAGCAAGTGAGTTCCCGAAAGCTCCTGCCAAGAGTTTGTCCCGAACAACTGCTGCCAATTTCAACTGGTTACTTCGTGTAAAGGCGCCTCTGTGCAAAGACTTCTGTGTGTAAAAGCTTTTGCGTGTAAAAGTTTCTGTGTGTAAAAACCACTTTGTGTATAAAGACTTCTTTGTGTAAAAGCTTCTGTGTGTGAAAGCTTCTCTGTGTGAAAGCGCGTCTGTGTAAAGATTTCACTGTGTGTAAAAGCTTCCGTGTGTAAAACTCTCTGTGTAAAGGCTTCTCTGTGTAAAAGCTTCTGTGCGTAAACGCGTCTGTGAGCCGTCTGTGAGTGAAAGAAAGCTATATATCTGTGTAACGACTTCTTCGTGTAACAGCTTCTGTGTGTAAAGGCTCCTAGACGTTTGTGTGCAAAAGCTCCTTAAAGTAAAGCCTTCTCTGTGTAAAACTCCCCCGCCAGGATTTGGCCAAAAACGGCCGTTTCCCAATGATCCCAGAAGAGAAATTCAATAGCCGGCCGAGGGACCGCCAAATGGCAGAAATATGCTTCCGAAAGGCTCCCGGCCAGGATTTGGGCAAAAACGGCCGTTTCCCAATGATCCCAGAAGAGAAATTCAATAGCCGGCCGAGGGGCCGCCAAATGGCAGAAATATGCTTCGAAAAGGCTCCCGGCTAGGATTTGGCCAAAAACGGCCGTTTCCCAATGATCCTAGAAGAGAAATTCAATAGCCGGCCGAGGGGCCGCCAAAAGGCAGAAATATGCTTCCAAAAGGCTCCCGGCCAGGATTTTGCCAAAAATTGCCGTTTCCCAATGATCCCAGAAGAGAAAGTCAATAGCCGGCCGAGGGGCCGCCAAAAGGCCGAAATTTGCTTCCAAAAGGCTCCCGTGTGTAAAAAGCTCCTTTGTGTATAGACTTCTCTGTGTAAAAGCCCCTGTGTGTGTAAAAGCCTGCTGTGTGTAAATGCTTTTGTGTGTAAAAGCTCCTCTGTGTAAAGGCTTCTCTGTGTAAAAGCTTCTGTGTGCAAATGCGTCTGTGTGTAAAAAAATCATCTGCATCTGTGGTAAAGAACGTCTTCGTGTAAAAAGCTTCTGTTGTGAAAAAGCCCTAACGTTTTTGTGCAAAAGCTCCTTAGAGTAAGCCTTCTCTGTGTAAAACCTTCTGTGTGGTAAAAAGGCTCCTTTTGTGTAACAGACTTCTCTGTGTAAAAGCCAACCCCTGTGTGTTAAAAGCTTGCTGTTGTGTAAAATGCTTTTGATGTTGTAAAAGCTCCCTCTTGTAAGGCTTTCTCTCTGTGTAAAAGCTTCTGTGTGCAACGCGTCTGTGTGTAAAAAGCCCTCTTCTGGTCGTAAGGACTTCTTTGTGTAACAGCGTCTGTGTGAAAGGTGCCTAACTTTTGTGTGCAAAAGCTCCTTAAAGTAAAGACTTCTCTGTGTAAACCTTCTGTGTGTAAAAAGCTCCTTTGTGTACAGACTTCTCTGTGTAAAAGCCCCTGTGTGTGTAAAAGCTTGCTGTGTGTAAATGCTTTTGTGTGTAAAAGCTCCTCTGTGTGAAGGCTTCTCTGTGTAAAAGCTTCTGTGTGCAAACGTGTCTGTGTGTAAAAAGCCCTCTGTGTAAAGACGTCTTCGTGTAAAAACTTCTGTGTGAAAAAGCTCCTAGACGTTTGTGTGCAAAAGCTCCTTAGAGTAAAGCCTTCTCTGTGTAAAACCTTCTGTGTGTAAAAAGCTCCTTTGTGTACAGACTTCTCTGTGTAAAAGCCCCTGTGTGTGTAAAAGCTTGCTGTGTGTAAATGCTTTTGTGTGTAAAAGCTCCTCTGTGTGAAGGCTTCTCTGTGTAAAAGCTTCTGCGTGAAAACGCGTCTGTGTGTAAAAAGCCCTCTGTGTAAAGACTTCTTTGTGTAACAGCTTCTGTGTGTAAAGGCGCCTAGACTTTTGTGTTCAAAAGCTCCTTAGAGTACAGACTTCTCTGTGTAAAACATTCTGTGTGGAAAAAGCTCCTTTGTGTAAAGACTTCTCTGTGTAAAAGCCCCTGTGTGTGTAAAAGCTTGCTGTGTGCAAATGCTTTTGTGTGTAAAAGCTCCTCTGTGCAAAGGCTTCTCTGTGTAAAAGCTTCTGTGTGCAAACGCGTCTGTGCGTAAAAAATCATCTGTGTAAAGACGTCTTCGTGTAAAAACTTCTGTGTGTAAAAGCTCTAAGAAGTTTGTGTGCAAAAGCTCCTTAAAGTAAAGACTTCTCTGTGTAAACCTTCTGTGTGTAAAAAGCTCCTTTGTGTAAGGACTTCTCTGTGTAAAAGCTTCTGTGTGTGTAAAAGCTTGCTGTGTGTAAATGCCTTTGTGAAGGCTTCTCTGTGTAAAAGCTTCTGTGTGCAAACGCGCCTGTGTGTAAAAAGCCCTCTGTGTAAAGACTTCTTTGTGTAACAGCTTCTGTGTGTAAAGGCTCCTAGACGTTTGTGTGCAAAAGCTCCTTAGAGTAAAGACTTCTCTGTGTAAAACCTTCTGTGTGTAAAAAGCTCCTTTGTGTAAAGACTTCTCTGTGTAAAACCTTCTGTGTGTGCAAAAGCTTGCTGTGTGTAAATGCTTTTGTGTGTAAAAGCTCCTCTGTGTAAAGGCTTCTCTGTGTAAAAGCTTCTGTGTGCAAACGCGTCTGTGCGTAAAAAATCATCTGTGTAAAGACGTCTTCGTGTAAAAACTTCTGTGTGAAAAAGCTCCTAGACGTTTGTGTGCAAAAGCTCCTTAGAGTAAAGCCTTCTCTGTGTAAAACCTTCTGTGTGTAAAAAGCTCCTTTGTGTACAGACTTCTCTGTGTAAAAGCCCCTGTGTGTGTAAAAGCTTGCTGTGTGTAAATGCTTTTGTGTGTAAAAGCTCCTCTGTGTGAAGGCTTCTCTGTGTAAAAGCTTCTGTGTGCAAACGCGTCTGTGTGTAAAAACCCCTCTGTGTAAAGACTTCTTTGTGTAACAGCTTCTGTGTGTAAAGGCGCCTAGACGTTTGTGTGCAAAAGCTCCTTAGAGTAAAGACTTCTCTGTGTAAAACCTTCTGTGTGTAAAAAGCTCCTTTGTGTAAGGACTTCTCTGTGTAAAAGCCCCTGTGTGTGTAAAAGCTTGCTGTGTGTAAATGCTTTTGTGTGTAAAAGCTCCTCTGTGCAAAGGCTTCTCTGTGTAAAAGCCCCTGTGTGTGCAAACGCGTCTGTGTGTAAAAGCTCTCTCTGTCAGGACTTCTTCGCGTAAAAACTTCTGTGTGTAAAAGCTCTCAGAAGTTTGTGTGCAAAAGCTCCTTAAAGTAAAGACTTCTCTGTGTAAAACCTTCTGTGTGTAAAAAGCTCCTTTGTGTAAGGACTTCTCTGTGTAAAAGCTTCTGTGTGTGTAAAAGCTTGCTGTGTGTAAATGCCTTTGTGAAGGCTTCTCTGTGTAAAAGCTTATGTGTGCAAACGCGTCTGTGTGTAAAAAGCCCTCTGTGTAAAGACTTCTTTGTGTAACAGCTTCTGTGTGTAAAGGCTCCTAGACGTTTGTGTGCAAAAGCCCCTTAGAGTAAAGACTTCTCTGTGTAAAACCTTCTGTGTGTAAAAAGCTCCTTTGTGTAAAGACTTCTCTGTGTAAAAGTCCCTGTATGTGTAAAAGCTTCTGTGCGACTCCTCCATCCAGCTTTCTTTCGGGTCACGCTGTCGTGCAGTTTCAATCTGCAACAGTGTTTCTTGTGGAAGATTGAAAGAACAGGTGAAAGCATCGCAGGTTAAAAAAATTAACATAAACAGCGCACAAAGTGCTGTAATTTACAGCATTTTGCGCTGTCAGATGGCAAGAACCCGCGTAAATACCACAGTTTTAGTCCCCGAAAGTGGCTAAAACACTGTTATTTACAGGGCTTCGTTCACGTCACGATCTTCGATTTTTTGAAAAACGCGTAAATACCAGCGTTTTTTGCGTTCATCAAGGAAAAAAATCGGTTCAGAAAGGGAAGAAAATGCTGTAATTTACACGGGTTTGGCGCCGCCACAGGCAAAAAACTGCGTAAATACCAGCGTTTCGGCGTCCAAAAGTGGCCAAAACACCGCTATTTACAGTGTTTCGTGCCTTCCACGTTTTCTTGAAATTGCAAAAACACTGTGAATACCAGCAGTTTTTGCGATCAACACGCCAAAAATGCTGTAATTTACAGTGTTTTTTTTCTTGGCTTTCAAAAACACTGGTATTTGCGGTGTTTTGTGCATCTTGGGTCCAAAAAGTATTGGTATTTACAGCATTTTCTGCGTTTTTGCATGGCTCCCGCAAAAGACGTTAAAACGCAAAAATGCTGTAATTTACAGCATTTTGCCTTTCGAAAAGCGAAAAATCGTCCGAAAAAGGCGTCAAAACGGTGCTTTTTTCCGATTTTAGGTACCCTCAAAACGGGGGGGGGGGCGGGATTATGCTCTTGGAGACGCTTATGAGCGACCCGGATTCCGGCCAAAAAGCTCTCCCCCACCCTCCTGAAGGATTTTTGGTGTTTTTCGGGGCCCGGCGTCGGAGGGTCGGCGGTTTGGGGCGCGCCTCACCTTAGAGCTCTAGTCGCTCTGG